TGGGACAGTGCGAATGCTAAAGTTTTTGCCACCTACCACTGATGCCCTCCGTCAACACATTCTTCTGTGCCATTTCCAGATAAAATTAACAAAAAAAAAAAAAATAGAAAATAGAAAAAATCAGGGGATTTCAATTCCATTCTGTTTTCTTTTTAGGTAATAGTGTTTTTAAATGCTTTTTTGAGCTCATACACGTATTGAGCGCCCTCGAAAACGTATGCAAGCAAGCATATACACACGTTTTCACAAGTTTTTTGAATTTTGGCCCATTTCGTGAAAATATGATCATTTGATGAACTTTTAATGCTCCAATTCATTTTTTGAGTGTCTCATCGTGTTCTACACTCCCGAAAATATAGACATCGGCACCTCAGTCGTATACGAGGTCGTATAGCTGACCAAAAGTAGAAAATAATTTGATTTTAGGGGTATTTTTGACGCCATTTTGAATATCTCACTACCGGTTGGAATTTCGACCTGATAAACGGTATTTTCGGATTCAGCGGGGTCGAAATAGGGGGTTCACGTCATTTATCCAATTGTTACATGAAATGCTTCTAGGATTGTAACGAAGGGCTTTTTTTGGAATTTAGCCCCGACTAATATCTCTTACACAAATTTGTCTGATTCATTTCATTCATCACAGGCATGTTGTCCAATCGAAACTCGTGAATCCACATGGAGAAATTCCACATAAATCCATTTGGAACACCATATACATCATTCCAGAATTACGTCATTTGACAGGTCGTTGGAGGGCAAACATTTTATTTTGTCATATGAAACCAGAAGTAGTGGAATCGTTTTTCCTTGGAACCCGAGTTGGAACCCAAAAGAATTTCAAGATTTAGTTTGGTGAATCTGTGGAAACACATTTCTTCCAAAATAAAAATAAATATTTACTTGAGAGACATCATCATTTATTCATCAGTCTACAAACTCGAAGAAAGTACCATTCAAATGTGATTCTTTTCAAAACAATCAATAACTTATTCGATTTCCATTATTTGACGCAAAAAATTCAATTTCATGTTCCAAGAATGGCGTCCAGAGTGAATCAAACCTTTTTCTTGCCAACTCCACGCACGAACATATGAGAATTATGGTTTGAATTAAACAATTCGGATACCGGATACATAGTAACAGTGATGGCAAAAACAGCAAGCATTCCTTGTTGTAACAATAAAATACAATATAATATGGACTTGATGACCATATATTAAGAATCTTTCAGGAACTGGATTTCAGCAATTTTGAGAAAATTCTTCGATAATCATTTCATAATGATTTCATATATACTTGTGCGTGAGTTTTACAATGGAATATTGGTTCATTTCATGACTCATGATAATGAAAATCTCATTATACCGTTGGATTTCGATTATATCCGGATAATTCTATAATTGAAATTCAAATCATTGAGAACATTTCAACAAACCGTCATGAAGCAGCGATAATATCCGGAAATATTATTCATAACAGCCATTCGATCCTTTTTTTCAAGAAATATACAGGGTGTTCCAGAACAACGTGAATTAAATTCAACAGGGTGAACTAGAGTTCAAAATAGGTCGATTGGGACCATCTTACCTCTGTACCAAAATGCACCGTTGGGCCGTGAGAGGGCGATGAATGGAATTTTTTTTCAGATTTCATTGAATATTTCAAAATCCTTGAAAGGTAATGCTCTGAAATTTGTAAGGCAGTCAACTATAAGAAGTGTGCATAGATAACAGGTCTCATCAGTTCAATCGATATACAGGAAGATACAAGTTTAGCATTCTGATTGGAGAAAATCCATAGAGCTTTTTTTGAGTACGCCACTGACAATATTTCAATATCTACTTGAATAACAAAATCAATTGTCTATCTTTTTTCTCACTACATTTCTTTCTAAATTTTGCTTGGTTTACGAGATATCTGAAAAAATTCTTTCGGATTCCCTCCATATCATCCATAGGTCCAAGATATCAGAGTTATCGTGTTCTGCAGATTTCTTCCTCCTTCATGTTGATATGTTGGTCACGTATTCATGTTAATTATTTAATAACCTTTTCATCATACAGAATGGCTCATTTTCAACTTGACAGGCATATTTTGAGTGATTATTGCGTAGATACGAAAAAATGCTCAGATCGGTCGATTTTATAGTGTGCACCTCCTGCTAACAATCAAAGTCGTTTGCAGTTTTTTTTCTGTTGAGAGTTCGGGGGCACAATACAATTCATTACCGAATGAGTTGAAAAATATACATGATGCAAGAAGGTTCAAAATCAATCTTAAAAAATACTTGCTCAGGACAATTTGAATGGAAAATATGAGGCATTATTTGATTACTTAGAAATGAAATATAACTTTAATCTTAAGAAACAATATTAATTCGTTTCCACTGAGTGGAATACATCCCTTATAGCACACAACGTCCTAGGGACGTCCCTATTTGGTACAATTCACGTCCGAATGTCCCGACCCAAAAATAAGTGTCCTTGGGACGTCCCATCCCGTACATCTCATACAATGTCCGAGCAAGGACGTCCACGGGATGTCCTAGCTGGTACATCATTTCAAATGCCTTAGAAATAGCATCCTTTAGACGTCCCACGTGGTACATATTGTAGAATGTCCATGCAAGGACGTCCTTGGCATGTCCCTGATGGGATATGATTTTAAACGTTCATTTAGGGACATCCATCGGATGTCCCGAGTAGTACAAATTCTGGCATGACTTCAGATCTTATATAATGTCCCTTCTAACCAACCATGAAATGTCCCCTGAGGGTACATTCCTTCAAATATCTCTGCACAGACGCCCTTGATATTTCCAGGATCGTATAACAATCGAAATGTTCCTTAGAGACATCCTTCGAATGTCCCTTAGAAATATCCGTCGGATGTCCCAATTGATACATGTACTGTACTCTTCCAATGTCCTAGAAATAACGTCCTATGGACGTCCCAGTCGGTACTTTCAATATGCTGTCCCTGCGATGACGTTAACTAACAGCTCGCCGACGGATGATCGCTCGTAGGCTATAAGTACTCCTCGTCAATGTCCTTCACGTAAGTCCATTGGACATCCTTGGGAAACTTTTTGGGGACCTTCTACGGACCATCAACTCTACTGGATGTCCTAATCAGTTATGCAAGAACTGGTCCTAGAGGGACCCAGAAAAATTCAAATTCAAGAATAATTCGTACGTCTCTGGGACATCCTATGGACATCCAATTGATATCCCTCAGCGTTGCTGATAGGTTGTCCTATGGATGTCCCCTGTAGTGCATGATGAGAAATACTGTAGGATTTAGGTATTAGATAGTCGTCTCAGGGACATCCCTCAAGGACGTCCCTAGTTGGTCCTCAAGTGGGACATTTGTGCGTCCCACAGACGTCCAATGAACGTCCACGGTACCAAATCCGAACGTCCTATGGACGTCCTGAATGTCCCGACAGGACGTCCTAAGGATATCCATGGGACATTAGTGTGTTATCAGGGATTAGATAACCCTTTATTATTATTTTCTCATATGTCTTTATGTATCCCTATCATGAACCGAAATGTTTCTTGGGGTAATAAAGACAATCAATCAATCAAGCAATATGTTCAATTTTTGATGTGTAATGTATTTCTTCTGTTCCTTTCACGTTTAACACCATGCAATTCCATACCATTCAACAATATTTTTGATACTTCTCGTATTTCTTGATCTCATGTATCTCAGGAACCAAATCGCTGTAGACAAAAAATGAAAGAACCATTTTTATAGGAAGTGTTAATATGATGTTCAATTTCGCAAACCAAATTTTTTGCGTTGTAGCCTGATTTTCGAATTATTCAAGATAACTTGACCTTCATTCTAACACGAGTATCAAAATTCAATTAGTTTGAGGTAGTAATATGGGAATTAAATAATAGTATGCACCAGTAATATTCTTACTTTAATTGTCATCAATTATAAATATAATTATTCAGTTAGGTATATGGTATATAATATAACTTTAACATATAATGGCAAAACTATTATCCTAATAACTTATACTATATCAGTCTTTTATTGACCTAACATTTAAAATTTGGCTAATAAAAATCTGAACCTATATATACAACGAGGTATTCGATAAATTATTTATAAAACAAAAATGTCATTATTTCGAAATATTGTCGTTAATTATTGAGCTAGTCGAAATTCGCATTATATAGGTACGTCATTTTTTTCTATTTACAAAATATTCATTAAAAATGTCGAGGTGAGAAATGGATATTTGAATAATATAACAATTATTATTCACGATATGTTCATGTTACATTGACATCAATATCGAATATCTGCATAAGATGTTGAAATTATGCAGCGATTCAAAAATTACAAGAAGAATGTAATTAAAAAATCAAAAATCATACGACCGGTTCTAAATATTCGATTTACATCACAATGATGTTTAGGTCACAATATCACATTGCTGTGACATTGTTACAGTAAGGTTTAATCTCTGCCGAATAGATATATCGTATGATTATCTAGTATCAATATCATAATATCACAATGATGTGTCATTCTGACATTGACTAGTACATCAGCACCAGGAATAGCAGTAATTGCTCTTGTCCGACTGAAACCAAAATAAATATTACTAGGTACTTTGTAAAATTTAGTCAATGTTGCAATGAATTAGCGATATCGACTTCATTCATTCGGTTCCTTGCTAAATATTATATACGATACATCACAGTCATGTAAAATCGTAACATTAAATCTAACATCAATATGGCATTGTTGTAACATTGATTTGATAAATAGGTATCATTGATTAAAACATTGATGTAAGGTTGATGTAACATTAGTGTAACATTGATGTAACATTGATGAAATAATTATGTAACATTGATGTCACATTGATGTAACGTTGATGTAACATTGATGTCACATTGATGTAACATTGATGTGACATTGATGTAACATTATTTAACATTATCACCAGTGTGTGGACGTATCCTGATTATTTACGCTGAGCGCTCCTCTCGGGTCCTGATCTCGTTCCTTTTCTTCTCTCGCCTGTTCACCCAGTTCAGAGGATAACACATGACGGCAGAGAGGAAAATCATGCCACCGGACAAGTAGAAACACGCGTTGTGACTTCCGGTGGCCTGCATGAAGGCGCCTGCTAATGGGGCGCCGATTATTGCGGCGATGCCTTGGAACAGAAGAAGGAGACCGAAGGCGTTTGTCAAATTTTCCAAGCCCAATAGATCGACGACGATGATGGATCTTAGAGATGCGAAACATGCTGAAAATATAAAAGAGGATTTTATTTTATAGGTCGTAAATATGTTTGGATTGACTATCTATTCGATTATTGATGTCAAAAATGTCTGTTCTTAATATGTTATTTCAAACCCTCAGTTGATCAATAGACCATAAGTACAGTATTCACAAACAAATCAGAGAAACGTTTTCATTGACATGAAAATTTAATATATTGGGAATGAAAAATTGAAACCAAGTTTTGTATCAACAAGAAACTATTTAAAATTATTGATCATTAAAATGAGATACCATAAATTATTTCACCTTCTGCTCCATTCGAATATAATAAATTACTCGAAAATATAACAGGTTGCATAAATATATCTAAATTCCAAAATGAATTGAAAAAAACTCATCATATCTACCTGGATGAAATAAAAAAATTAATTTGTATTTGTATTATATTTTCTATTAATATTGATATTGAGTTCAACGATATGAAATGAATTTTTACACATTTGATATTCAATGAATTCGAATAATATAACACTGTTTATGAATTATTCTCAAAAATTTGCAATTAATGTATTATTTTTATTGTTTTGTTAACTATACTTCCTGGTAAAAGAACTTGTTTGAGTCTCCAAATAATCATCATCTTCTTGGTCTGAATGAACAGAATCATATACAGAGTGATTCTGTTGTACCGGCAACACACGATTTTTACGATTGGGTGAAATCTACTGGCAACATACACTCAGTTCCAAGAAAAATGACGCACTTGATATTTGACCTACCTACCTTCTTAAAAAAAAAATTGTATGCCGATTTTAATTTTTTTTATTTGTTGGTAGTTAATGCATTTGTCTTTAAAAAAAATAAAGGGGTGGCAATTTTTTCAAAGCCTACTTGATGGTGGTGGAATAACTCGAACCATGATATATTCTTAATTTTTGACTCACCTTGTGTGTTAATTGAGTAATGGCATAGAAAGTGCTTACACCCTATACGAAAGAGGCTTCTTTTGCGAGCATTTTGTTTATATTCATTGATTTATCTCTGAATCCCGAATTACAGCTTTTTTTGCTGAATCCTTGCAGAGTACCAACTTTTTGAATTTATCGAGAAACAATTTTTTAATGAAATAAACTGGTACCAATAATTTCAAAAAACATTTTTATTTAGCACAAAATTATAAATTGGGATGACTGCTTAATACTGTGTATTGCCTCCTCTAGCAACTCTAAGAACTTCTAATCTACGAGGCATACTGGAAATTTAGTTGCTTATCGTTTCCATTGGTATACGATCCCGTTCTTCCACTAACGCATCTGCCATTTCTGCGAGACTTTCCGGAGACCTCTCGCGAGAACGTACCCTTCTCCCTAATTTATCCCACAAATATTCTATAGGATTCATATCGGGGCTTCTTGCAGGCCATTGTAATGTGGTAATACCAGTAGCTTCTAAGAAGTTTCGCACTATCGCTGCGGTGTGTGGTCGGGCATTATCCTGCATCAATATATAATTATTGCCCACTAAGTCTGCATGAGGTAAGACATACTGCACTAAAATGTCAATGTATTGTAATTTGGGCATTCATCGACTGCCTCACCGAAAAACATGAAGGGGTGTCTTTCCATTCATTGAAATCCCTCCCCACACCATAACGGACCAACCATTAAAACTTTCGCATTCTGTTATAGAATTTTGAGTACTCTGATCCTTCAATAAATTCAATTTGTGGGATAAGCGTAAGGTATCAGCAAAAAAGCTGTAATTCGGAAAATTTTAGAGATGAATCAATGAATGAAAAAACAAAATGCTTGCAAAAGAAGCCTTTTTTGTATAGGGTGTAAGCACTTTCTATGCCATTACTCGATTAACACACAGGGTGAGTCAAAAATTAAGAATAAATCATGTTTCGAGTTATTCCACCACCATCAAGGAGGCTTTGAACAAATTTTCAACTCTTTGTTTTTTTTTAAGACAAATGCATTACCTACCGACGATTAAAAAAAAATTAAAATAGGCCTACTATTTTTTGTTTTTTTTAAGAAGATAGGTCAAATATCAAGTGCGTCACTTTTTTTGGAACTTAGTGTATTATTGCAATGATATTTTCATATATCAATCAATCAACTCCATTATTCCCAAGAATCAACATTTGTGAATAGCAGGGAACATGGTGAATATATTCGACATAATGAAGAAGACATAGTGAAATAAGAATCACACTCGGATGCGGTTCGTTTATTTTGAAGATCAATCCATTGGTTAAAGGACAGATGGACCACTGATGAGAATACATGGTGACATATCTGACTATACAGGGTGACAAATAAACTTCTGCAAAATATTGACAAATTTTCCAAGCTCCCAATTTGATGGAACATTTTCGGGACTCATTCCATTCTTATTTCCATAACGCTCAAGCATATTCCTTGGAATGGTTTTGAAATTTTTCGTTCACCTCTTTAAGTATTCAGAATTTTGTTTTTCGGACCAGAAATATTCTTTTTTGAAGCTCTTGGATCGGAGATTTGTTCCTGGATAGGTTTTTGTGACCTATTCTCATATGAAATCTCATTTTGCTTATATACACAGTGCTTGGTAATAATAATGGACAGATATTATTACAGGAATACTATTTATTCAACTCGGCTGCGCTTCTTCAAAAAAATCAGATCTCGATCACCAAACACTAGATACAAAAATAACTATTTTTCGATATAACTGAAAAACCTAGAACAATTTTGAAATTCTTCGAAGGCCGTTGGAATGACCCTCTGAATATGCAACTGTTCTCCTATTCAACCGAATTCGTATCTCCTTTCGTTTCCGAGATCCCCATGCTGTCCAATCTCATCTTGTTCACACTGTATATGACCCTACTAGCTGCCCGGCTTTGCAAGGTTGGTGTACCCATTTGAAAAAAATGAGACATTTGTTGTAGTCGTTCTCAGCTATGCGCGTATATCAACAGTAAGTACATATTTTTTTGTTATTCTTCAAATTTTCGAGCTCACCTGAAGATATTATCAAACACTAACACCTATTTCATTCTCTCGATATATTTCGTTTTTTTTTGTTGTTTCACGTACATTAAAATTGTCAACCCGATCGATAAAGTCGTTTAGTAGTTGACGTACCTACCGACAATAGCGCCTCCTACAGCGTCTAATTGGTTTTTTAGAATCATCAAGGAAACCATCGAAATACCCAATCGGTCCGATTCTCTAAGACGTGTTTAACAGTGTGGCTAAATTAGTAATGTTCTTATTTAGAACGTTCTCAACCACTCCACATTTTCCAATATTCATATTTGGTGTTCTATTAAAACAACATATTTTATCGATGTGGTTAGTTTTTTACTTCCACTCAGTGGTATAAATGAAGCTGTGAAGTTAGTCTGCCTTTTACGTCAATTCAACCTAACAATTGATTTACTCTACAAGCTACAAGCACTTGGTTGAGACACTGATACATTAGAATCAGTTCCCTGATAGGATCCTCGTGCAAGTAATGTAGCAAGTTAGTTATAAATATTCTCTAAGTACTCTCTATATAACGATATATCACAAAAACTCAACTGAGATTTACTTTTACATGTAGTAAAATAAAAGTAGCCAACCAACGTCTTGTTGAATTCCTCAAAATTCTATTGTTTGGTGCTATCCTTCTAGTGATATAGGTATTTTTGTGTTATCACAAATAATTAGGTGGAAATTTCATATTTTCTTGATAATTACCTCTTGTGCAACATCTACCATATACAGATATTTTCTTGAAATAGTACCACATTTTTTATTGAAAACCTCCACAAATCACCAGATAATGCTGGTGGATATCTGCCTACAATAAAAAGTGGAAAAAAACATGACAAGTTGTTAATTTATGATCCATCTATGCCTTAGAGAATCAAAAAACCTGTAAGTGGTTTTAAAGTAACCACTTCATATCAACCACCCAAATGACATTTGTTAAAATAACCACGCTCTCAGTGAATCGGACCCATTAGGTGAAAAAGATAAGTACGGAAGGACAATTCATACTACCCGTTGTCCTATTACCCGTTTTGCCGTGAGAATGAAGCATTTTCACGCAGTAAAAAGTAGCCTATGTTCATCAATGAGTATGTCTGGTTCTAATGGTGGGAATTTGTTTGGAATCGGTCTAGTACTTTCGAAGCCTATTCGATACAAATAAACAATCAAATCTGTCCACTTTATAATATTAGTATAGACAACAAGACGAACTCGAGATACTCACATATGCAAAGTCCGAACACCACGCAGTACGCAAACTGGTACTCCACGCTCATCGACAGCCCGCTGAACATCGTAGCCAACCCTCCAATGGTCAACGCCACATTATTAACGAACAGCGCATCAACGCAAGGAAACGAAGTGATCACCCCGTACATGATCCTCCCCACGGTATTAGCGATCCCGATAGTAGCCACCAGCCAAACGGCCGTCATATTGTCTATCCCGCTCTTCCCCGCTCTGTCCACCAAGTACATGTAAGGCACGAAGAACCCCATCATGGTGAAGAAGCCCCCGACTGCCAGGATCAGGAAGGAGTGGGACTTCATCAGGCTGACGTCCAGCATGGTGCCCAGGACCCGTCTGAAGGCCTCGGGGCACAGCTGGCACGCTGGCCCGACCTCTTCCTCCACGTCGTTTTTCGTCGGCAGCCTCGTTATCGCCAGGTTGTACTCCACGGAGGTCCTGGAGGTGTACTGGGGCAGCCTGGCGAGGCTGGCGCCGAAGAAGATGTCGTCTCTGTAGAGGGGCCTCACTACTTCGCGGGGGTCTTTGGTCTCCGAGGTGGTTCGTGATCGTTTCGGGAGGACGAGCGGCTTGGTTCGGTCTATGTCGAGCAGGGGTATTTTCTTCTGGAACCTGTGATGAACAGGAGTTTTGACCAAAGTTATTACGTGAAGTCGTATTAGGGAGTGGAAATTGTGTCAAAATGTATAAATCAGTTTAGCAACTCACTGTATCGAAAGTGTGCGTATGCTACCTCGTTTGAAGTCAAGAACCTGTCAATCTACTCCCACGGGAGGAAAAAAAGATTACCTCCCGTGGGACATCAAATGAATTGGCTGATTCACGATGAATGGTACATTAGACGTTTCTGGAGAACGAAACGTAGGATTAATTTGGAAATTTGGTTCCTCGAATAATTTGTTGTGTTCTATCGACCTGAAATATGCTCAGAGCTGCGACGTTGCCGCTCATATTAAAGAGATGCATCAACTTTGATTTTTTTAATGGGACACCTTCTATATCATTCAATTTTACGATTTTCCAGGAGAGCTGATTTCATCAATGTATCACACTTGGGGTCTAGCGGAGATGATAACAAAGATATTATAGGGTGTGAAAAATCGAGATTTTTCAAATCTAAGAATTTTTTGTGTCGAGAGTGTTCATAATTGGTCAAAACGGTTTCTATGTCCCTATCAATTGATATTTATTTGAAATAGATACAGGGTGGTCGAAAATCCTAATTCTGTTACCACCCTGTATCTATTGCAATTAAATATCAATTGAAAGTGAATAAAATGTTGGAATAGGGACCGTTTGGACTAATTATGGTTACATAAGCAAGACACACTAAGTCATCTCCACAAATTTATCAAATTATCAGTGTCTGAACATGTTTCGGACTATCAATAGTCCATCATCAGCAAAAGCATATGTTTCAAAGACAATTTGTGGAAGTGAAAAAAAGAGGCAACAATAATACTATACAATCGAATTCACATATTGTTACAAATAATGAAGCTCAAAATGCCCATGGCCCAAAGGGCTTTATGGAGGGTACCAACACTTGTTCATCCAAGTTATTAGTATTCACTTCAACAAATTGTCTTTTAAACATATGCTTCTGCTGATGATGGACTATTGATAGTCCGAAACATGTTTAGACACTGATAATTTGATAAATTTGTGGAGATGACTTAGTGTGTCTTGCTTATGAATCTATTCACTCCACTTTGGGATACCATGGACTTTTACCATCAATTATGAATAGTTTCGACAGAAAAAATTCCTAATGTTGAAAAATCTCGATTTTTCACATCTTATAACTCTGTGACTATTATTACTACTAGACCCTAAGTGTTATAGTTCAATAGAATCAGCTCTCCAGGAAGAATCTGGAAATGAAATAATATACAGGGAGTCCCATTTTCAAAATCAAAGTTGTTACTACTTTTCAATATAAGCGGAAACGTCGCAACGCTGTGAATATTTTAGGTCGATGACACAACTAATTATCCAAGGCACCAACTTTTCAGAATAATCTTGAGTTTCGTTCTCCAGAAACGTCTAATGTGCCATCCACCGTGAATCACCCTGTATATACAGTGTCATTCATAAAGTCGGCATCATATGGGAAAAACTTTTATTATTGACTTATTTTGGAATTCGAGTTGGACGTTAAGTTTTGCTTCAAAAAAGATGAAAAATGGCCTACTCAATCTTGGTCACGTGACTTTCGCTACATGTCAAAAGTGACATTTTTTCAAATTAATCGCTGAAAGTAGGCTTATTTGTTCGAATATCGTGAAAGTTTACTTGAAAAAGTTGTTTCTATTTCAATTTTACACATGCTTCCCGAATTTGATCCTCCTATTGCAACTTTTAGATTTTGTTTTTTTTTTTAAATTTTTCGAAATTTCTGTAATATTTGAAGAATTGTTAATTCCACGAAACTACTTCATACCAGTAGCTTTTTCATGCTAGTTACTTTCAATTACTTATTATCACTGATTATGGACAAAAATAAGATTTTTTTCAGAAAATGATAATACCCGCTTCCAAATTCTGTTATGTTTGATGCAAAGTTGATATATCGTCAAGCATTTAGAAACGAAATTCATTTAAACTGATCTTTTCAGTACTGAGAAAATGAATTCAAATGGATTTCGTTTCTAAATGCTTGACTCAAACATACCAGAATTTTGATGTTATGTTTGCATCAAACATAACAGAATTTTGAAGAGGAGATTATCATTTTCTGAAGAAAATCATATTTTTGTCGATAATTAGTGATAATTAGTAATTGAAAGTTAGTAACATGATGAAGCTACTGGTATGAAGTAGTTTTATCGAATTTACAATTTTTTTAATATTACAGAAATTTCGAAAATTTCTAAAAATATCGAAATCTAGAAAATGTAATAGAAAGATAAAATCCGAGTCACATATGTAAAATTTCAATAGAAACAACTTGTTCAAGTGAACTTTTTCGATATTCGAACAAATAAGCCTAATTTCAGCGATTAATTTGAAAAAAATGTCACTTTTGACATGTAGCGAAAATCACGTGACCCCGATTGAGTAGGCCATTTTTTATCTTTTTTGAAGCAAAACTTGACGTCCAACTCGAATTTCAAAATAAGTCATTAATAAAAGTTTTTCCCATATGATGCCGACTTTATGAATGACACTGTATATCATAGATGAAGAAACCCAAAGTCATCTACAGAACATTTATTTGACGATCAGTACATGTTTCGGGCTCTTATGAGCCCATCATCAGCCGAATATAATATTTTTGTTATGGAAATGAAAAAGTTTAAATATTTGAAAATTTAGACAATAAAATGGGGCAAGACACAGACGTATGCACCATTATTTGGTATATTTTCTTCGGAGGAGGCGCTTGTAGAAATTGACCCAAGTTGCCCCACTGGCAGTGTTTAATCTTTGGAATAAGTCCATACTAACTCAAAGTAGAGTGGTATAATTCATAGATGAAAAAACCCAAAGTCATCTTCACAACATTTATTTGACGATCAGAGATATCAATCACAAAGGGGTACATGTTTTGGGCTTATATTATATAAGCCCATTATCACATGAAAGATTCCAGTTATGAAAATGGAAAAGTTGAAGAATTTGATAATTTACAATTCAACAATCGTCACCTCCTCCGAAGAAAATATAACTAGTCATGGTTCACGCGTCTGTGTCTTGCCCCATTTTATTGTCTAAATTATCAAATTTTTCAACTTTTCCATTTCCATTACGAACATCTTGTATTCGGCTGACGATGGCTCTATGGTTTTTCATTCACGTCAATATCTTCATTTCAAGAGAAGATACAAGTCAGTGTTTTAGGAAAGTATGGATTTTTTTTATTTTCCACCAACAATAAGAACTCCAAAACCATTCTCCAACCTTCAGCTCCATCATGATTTGAATCGAGGTGTGGTCCTTTTTCGTCCCTTCTCAACACATCAGTTCTTGATTCACGTCGATTTCTTATTTTTGAGAAAAGATACAAAGTGTTTTAAAAAAGTTTGGATTTTTCAAAATCTTCATTAACAATAATTCATAATCTATAGAGCATCTTTGAAATGACTGCTTGAGAAATTCGTTCATCTCGATGCTACGACGGCGGTTGAATACTGTAATTCAACCTCGAGGAGGGCATACTTGTTATTGAATAAGTATGTACATCTAGGAGGTCTGCTTTTCATTAGTTTTTAGTAATCAAGGTTTCTTTTTGCTGGTGAGTGCTGAAATGACGGGGTGGAATTAAGTTATGTCAATTGTTCAAGTTCTTAATTCATAATATGTGGGTTCTGCAAATTTTAAATATCCATACTTTCCTGAAACACAATATCTTCTTGTGAATAAAAGATATTGACGTGAATCGACAACCTTCGTATTGGGAAGGAATCATACTTCAATTCAAGACATGATGAATCAAAGTTTCATCGCTCACTTTTGCCACAGGGCGTTAAGAAGTTAAGCTTGAAAATGTAACTTTTGTCTTTTCCTGTATAATGTTAGCTAACTGGAAATTGATATTAAGGTTAATATTTTGACGATTTCGACAAAATTTCAATAAAATCGGACAGAAATTAAAAAAGTTACATGACGATAATTTTGGCTACATTTTTTGCTGGCCGGTTTTGTTTGAAGGTGAGTGAAGAAGTTGTTTTTTTCTTGTTGAAGATGACGTAGTAATTTATTCGAGGAAGTGAATTCATTTCATTCAAGGAAACAGATCATTCTGAAATGACAGCTGTCAAATTCAATGATTGCTGTATACGTGACCTGAAATTTCTAATTCTCGGAATAAACGATTATCTGTGAGGAGTGTGAAACAAAATTACAATAACTGTAACGACAAGTGGAGGAGAAACTCCCAAATTAGCTTCTTACTGGGAATAAACACTTCCGTATTTCAAGCGGAAATGTACGCAATCTTGCACTGTGCAAGAATAAGCAATATAAGGGAAGTGCGCAATGCACAAATCAAAATATGCACCGATAGTCAGGCGTCACTGAAAGCTCTCACGAACCCGAAGGTGACATCCAGGCTGGTACGGGAATGCAGAGAAGAACTCAATGTCCTGTCAGAACATAACAAAATTACCCTGCCATGGGGGACATTGCGGCATCGCAGGGAACGAAAAAGCTGATGAACTTGCAAGAACCGGCTCATCAACTCCATACATTGGCCCAGAGCCCGTACTCGGTGTACAAAAACAGCTTTCCGAGGCTATTCATACGGGGTTGGTTCAAGCGAAAACATAAGGAGCGATCGATGGACTGAAGCCCCTCACATGCACCACGGGAAAGTATTCATTAAAGATCCTTCGAAAAATAAATCTGAAGAACTACTCGAGAAGAGTAGGAACCAAGTCAGAATGATAACAGGACTTCTCACTTCTCACATACCAACAAGAGGACATCTGAATGAAATGGGACTGTTAAATGGAGAACTTCTCTGCGGTAAAGGGACAGAAACGGCAAACACTTTCTAATCGAAAGACAAGAAATATTCGGGCAGCCTAGGCTGACTCCCGAAGAATACAACAGCCTACCGGTGAAGAACCTGTACAGACTGGTGCAGGGAATAAGATTTACGGAATGGGTACTGTAAAATAAACTGGAATCCACAAAGAGCCCAGGAGGCTGAGGTGTAGCCGATGACAGGAACAGCATCCAAGGAAAAAAAAGGGCAAGTGGAATTTTCAACTTTTCTTGACAAACTCCTCCACTCGTAATCGTGATTCGAAGTGTTCATTTAGAAGTTTTTCGACCAAAATGAACTATATTACTTGGTAACGTCATAACTCAGACAAGAAAATTCTTGATTCCAAATCGTTTGGAACACGATTCAACAAGAGAAAACAACTTAGATGGCGAGCAAGCGACAAGATCTCTTAGAAGTTGAAAAATGACCGAGTGAGCCATCTACATACATAGTTTACTGCTGTAGTTTATGGCTTTACAAACCTTTGGGCTTCTGGGATGAAGGGTACGCTTAGCCTCTTCACTTTGTCAGCTGTCTGTCTGTTGGGGATGCTGATGGTGTGGTATACGTCGGAGATGGTGGGGTAGTCGGAGTTGTTTTTGACTCCGAAGAGTCTGGGGATGGAGTGTTGGTGGTCGTTGTCCAGGGAACCTTTCCTCATCAGCTTCATCGCCTCTTCCATTTTCAGCCGGGTGGCCAATGGCAGTTTGGAGGGGTCCATTATTTTTTCCGAATTCTCAGTGTCTGGCTCTATGTCTTTCAGTTTGGTTGCTTTGAGGGGCCTGGAAATGATTATTGCTACAGTTAATTTTGTTCCAAATGGTACTTGTCACTAAGATTCTGTTGAAAATTACCTCTTCACCAATGTACAACAGTTCGTATGTATATGTAAAATTTGTTGAGCCTTATGTGATGTCTCATCATTAAGGACTGAAAGTAAAGTTGTCTAATATCTAAGACTTGCGCTTCTTCAAAAAGTTGTTTGCTAGGGTGTCTGTATGGTTTTTTGAAAATTATTTTTAGCAGCCATTTTTGGGTGACTTCCAATTTCTTCAGATGATTATTTTTTATTCCTCCCCGCGTGAGTATACCATAAGTGATGTGTTTGTAATAGAGAGGAATATAGTATTTTCATAAATCTCATATCAAATATTTTTCTGTGAAATCTGAATCTGTATAGAAGTCCTCTAAGCTTTTTCGTCACGAATGCAGCTTGATGGTCCCATCTCAGATGACAATCAATGATTATACCTAGATATTTAGTTTTTTGTTCCATCGATATAGCAATTGTTTTGTTATGAGAGATGATGTAATCTCTCAAATTCAGGTATTTTATTTGCTGTGCTACAGAAGGGAACTATTACGTTTTTTTAAAACTAACGCTGAGTAGCATGGAATTGAACCAATTTATTATATTAATGAAATCATATTCCACTATAGTTTTCAACTCTTCCCAAAAGGAACTTTTGTAGAAGATAACCGTATCGTCAGCAAAGCTGACAATTTCGCCTTGAATCTCGAGACTAAACAATTGATTGAGGTATATGTTGAAGAGAAGTGGACCTAGTACTGTACCTTGAGGTACTTTATATTTTACTATGTATTCACTACTCAATAAATCTCCAATTCTCACCGACTGTTTCCTGTTCGACAAAAAGCTTGTGATGTGATAGCAATTCAAATGCTTTACCTCGAATTCCAAAGTATTCTCCAGTAGTCGTAGCAATTTTTCATAAGAAACAGTGTCGAACGCTTTTGCCAGATCAACGAAGATACATAAGGATCGAGTACCTTCATCCATTGCTTGATATATTTTTGAAATTATGTGTGTCATTGCATAAGCAAGACCAGTAGTGAATTGCTGCTGAAAATACCCACAAAGTTCTATATTTGTAAATTCCAAGAATACCTTATGTAAATAATCATGAATCAGACCGAATTTTATATGGTGTATGTGACTAACCAAAATATTGGATTTGATGGTAAATGATCCCTGACACACATCTAATAACAAACTGGACTAGAAATTAATTGAAAAGCAAATTACATAATAACATCAATTATGAGAGGTATAATTATGATCGAGATGAATTGATTTGCATTCAGATATATCCGAATCCGATGATAAACAAGAAACAGTTCAGAAATGGATTCGATATACATTCAATTTGGTTTATATCCATGATAAACTTCGATGTTGGCTATGAAAATAAATAACATGGTAGTCAGTAACACCTTATTCGAGATGTCTTTCAAGTATTTCAGTCTCAGCAAAATTGAGAGAATCATATTATTTAATTAAAGATAGTTCTACTTCGACAGTTTTGGGATAGAGAACTTTTATAGATACCAACAGAGAGTTGAAGATAAAAAAAAGATCCTAGGTTGAGATTCAAAACATCATCATCCGCCATCTTGTTTTGGATGAAGATTTTTATCTGAAATTCTGGTAGATATGTATGTATTGTTGAACATTGGTGAATGATTTTTTGTTGTTTACTCGATGGAAGACCATAAAGTTTAAATCGAGGGGTAAATCTCCTTGGAAGTCTGGTGTACACTCCGTTGGAAGTCTTTGGAATTCTTTGGATGTCTTTGGAAGTCTTTGGATGTTTTTAGATGTCTTTGGATGTCTTTGGATGTCTTTGGAAGTCTTTGGATGTCTTTGGGAGTCTTTGGGAGTCTTTGAAAGTCTTTGGGAGTCTTTGGAAGTCTTTGGAAGTCTCTGGTCATTGGAAGTCTGGTGTACACATTTTTCCTGGAGATTTACCCCTCGGTTTAAATACAAAAATCTCATATAGTTTATACATACAACAGGGTCATTCCGTATATTCAAACAGCTTCTAGAGGGTTCATCATTGAAGTTAGAGAGAAATTTTGAATGCAAAAGTTGTAGGGTTTGTTTTGAACATCCAGAAAATCATACCAAATGGAACAAATGAATATCGCTGATATAAGAAAAGGGTACCAATTTTTCGAAAAAATTCAAGATCTCATCTTCCTGATTACAAAAATATATTGGTAATTGATATTTGGTTCAGCAGTTTTCGAGATATTCAAGGTTGAACATTTTAGATTTTACCAAATCACAACTGCCATGGAAGAAAAAAATCGCACTTTTATAACTGAAGGAGATGCAATTTCAAAGATGTTCGATGTGACCACCGTTGTTTTGTATACATTTTCTGTAGTCTTCATCAAATTTATTCATCGAATTGCAAAGGAAGTTGTTCAATATGTTAATGCATTCCGAAATTCTTCCTCCTTATTCAGCCAAATTTCCACTTCTTCCCTTATACACTTCATTCTTCAAATAGCCCCATAGAAAGTTATCTAAAGGTGTTAAATCTGGACTGTTCGGCGGCCATTCCATTGTTCCACGGGCATAACTTGATGAGGTGGCGCGCCATCCTGATGCCTGATCAATTCATTAAACTACCATTTTACCTACCTATTCAACACGATTTTCAACAGACATTTCAATTTATCAATAATTGCAGTGATATCACCAATTTTTTTTTCGTATTGATTCACCCTAGAGGACATTTTGTGGTCACGAAAACGTGAGGAAAGAAGGAAAGAAGGAAAGAAGGAAAGAAGGAAAGAAGGAAAGAAGGAAAGAAGGAAAGAAGGAAAGAAGGAAAGAAGGAAAGAAGGAAAGAAGGAAAGAAGGAAAGAAGGAAAGAAGGAAAGAAGGAAAGAAGGAAAGAAGGAAAGAAGGAAAGAAGGAAAGAAGGAAAGAAGGAAAGAAGGAAAGAAGGAAAGAAGGAAAGAAGGAAAGAAGGAAAGAAGGAAAGAAGGAAAGAAGGAAAGAAGGAAAGAAGGAAAGAAGGAAAGAAGGAAAGAAGGAAAGAAGGAAAGAAGGAAAGAAGGAAAGAAGGAAAGAAGGAAAGAAGGAAAGAAGGAAAGAAGGAAAGAAGGAAAGAAGGAAAGAAGGAAAGAAGGAAAGAAGGAAAGAAGGAAAGAAGGAAAGAAGGAAAGAAGGAAAGAAGGAAAGAAGGAAAGAAGGAAAGAAGGAAAGAAGGAAAGAAGGAAAGAAGGAAAGAAGGAAAGAAGGAAAGAAGGAAAGAAGGAAAGAAGGAAAGAAGGAAAGAAGGAAAGAAGGAAAGAAGGAAAGAAGGAAAGAAGGAAAGAAGGAAAGAAGGAAAGAAGGAAAGAAGGAAAGAAGGAAAGAAGGAAAGAAGGAAAGAAGGAAAGAAGGAAAGAAGGAAAGAAGGAAAGAAGGAAAGAAGGAAAGAAGGAAAGAAGGAAAGAAGGAAAGAAGGAAAGAAGGAAAGAAGGAAAGAAGGAAAGAAGGAAAGAAGGAAAGAAGGAAAGAAGGAAAGAAGGAAAGAAGGAAAGAAGGAAAGAAGGAAAGAAGGAAAGAAGGAAAGAAGGAAAGAAGGAAAGAAGGAAAGAAGGAAAGAAGGAAAGAAGGAAAGAAGGAAAGAAGGAAAGAAGGAAAGAAGGAAAGAAGGAAAGAAGGAAAGAAGGAAAGAAGGAAAGAAGGAAAGAAGGAAAGAAGGAAAGAAGGAAAGAAGGAAAGAAGGAAAGAAGGAAAGAAGGAAAGAAGGAAAGAAGGAAAGAAGGAAAGAAGGAAAGAAGGAAAGAAGGAAAGAAGGAAAGAAGGAAAGAAGGAAAGAAGGAAAGAAGGAAAGAAGGAAAGAAGGAAAGAAGGAAAGAAGGAAAGAAGGAAAGAAGGAAAGAAGGAAAGAAGGAAAGAAGGAAAGAAGGAAAGAAGGAAAGAAGGAAAGAAGGATAGAAGGAAAGGCGGAAAGGCGAAAATGACTGGAAGGGAATGAATCGATGATTCAATCGATAAATCGATAATAGTGAAGTGAACAAACATTAATTCACCTGAAGAGAGCGCCGAAGAGGGCGCAAGTGAGGGTGATGGCCGCCTGGCACAGCAGCGCCCCCCTCCAGCCGAAGTGCGTGATGAGAAGTTTGCCAATGGGCGCGAAGGCGAACGTGCCGATGCCCGAGCCGCACACCGCGATGCCTGTCGCGATTTGCCGCCATTTCTCGAAGTAGAAGCCGATGGTGATGATGGACGGGGCGTAGATGAAGCCGAAGCCGATTCCTGCGAGAGAAAAAATCGTGGATGAAAATTATACAGTGAACAAAGTTTTAGTTGTAGTTGATTCGAGAAAATATGTTTTTATGACAAATATTCATTTTGCGTGGTCTCACAATAAGATTTCAAGATTTTTTGGTAGTTTCTGTCTTTGTTTCCATAAATGGAAATATGATCATTAGTTCAATATATTGTATTACATTATTTCACATGTCGAAAATCATTTGGATTCATTAGAAATAAACAAACGCGAAAATGTCACTCGATGATCAATTATTAGACCTCAACAATTTACTATTTTCAAATGTTCTTCCCCTCTTACTATACTGTGTGAAATGAGGAATTAACTAGCCTGCGTGAAGGTGATCCCAATAATACTTAGGGTGTCCGGTAAATCATGGATCATACTATAGCTGGTGGTTTGCGAGATATCGGAACGTTTATTGAAATAAAATTGAGTTTGAAACTCCGTTGCTGTTATCAACAAAACGAATCCGATGATAGCCAAAACTGCCGATTACGGTAACTACTCTGAAACCGTACCGATTGGCTATGGTACTACCGAAAATTATCGATATCAGATACAATCCAAACATCAGAAGCGAAACAGTCAACATCAAAGAGAGAGATGTGACAATTTGATCAATTCGAATGAAGAAGCTAGCAGATATCAACTATAATATGTATCTTGTTATATTTAACTATATATGTATCTTGTTATATTTTTGCAGATATTGTGATCTATTGGAAGTACGACGAAGTTCTGCATCAACCAGAATTTTGTCTATCGACTTATTCAGACAGATGTGACATCAATTCAATCCATCAGAATCAAAAAGCTAGCTTCCATCAACTATGTAGTTTTATCGTAACAAATATATCATATTTTGTGATTTCAGCGGAATTCTGCATCAATCAAACCTTCGCCTGCTGGATTGCTGTAGGAATTTGGTATTCTTTAATATAACAATGTGAATAACTTCTGGAATTCCGTGAGTGAAACACAAGAACGGAATGCTGGTAGCAAAGTTCGATAAGACGAACCCAATAGCAGCCGATACTGCCCCGACCACGGTAACCCGGACATCAAAGCGGGACATTTAACAACTATTGATTTATTAAAAAGCTAGCATATTTGATGCAACTATGTATAGTTTTATCTCAGCAGATGTCGGCGAATTTCTGCATTCATTGGAACTTCGCCTGCTGAACTGTCGTAAACATGTATTTTTCATAAAACAATGTAAGATCAACCCAATGACAGTCAAAACTCCTCCAAAAATAGTTTAAATACTCTAAAACCGTACCGATAGGCTATGACACTAATTAAAAGTACCGCTGTCAGATAGAACCCAGATATCAGACCTTGCCAGCAAAACAGTAAACATAAATTGAGTAATTGGGACAGATGAAGAAGCTCAACTGTGTAGTCTTATTTTTGAAGATATTGAAATCTATTAGGATGTCGGCAAAATTCTGCAATAACAAATATTTCGCCGGATGAATCACCATTGAATTTTTGTATTTCTCAATAAGAAATGCAACCATCCCCGAAAATGCCATAGGTGAAGCACAAAAGCGGTACGCTAGTAGCAAAGTTCGACAAGACGAACCCGATAGCAGTAAAAACAACCCCGACCACAGTAACCACTCTGAACCGGTATCGATTCGCTATGACGCTAACAAAAAATCCCTCTATCAGATAGGACCCAGACATCAGAGACACTACTAGCGAAACATTCAACATCTATTGAGGTTTTGAGACAGATGTGACATCAGTTCAATAAACTCGAATAAAAAGCTAGCATCTTCAATGCAACTATGTAGTTTTATATCAGCAGATATTGAGATCTTCTGGAATATCGGCTGAATTCTGCATTCATCAAATTTTCAACTGCTAAATTGCCGTGAATATTTGATATTTTTCAATATAACAATGTAATTACCTCCTAGAACTCCATAGGTGAAACACAGAAACGGTACGCTGGTAGCAAAGTTCGATAAGACGAACCCGATAGCAGCCAAAACAGCCCCGACCACGGTAACCACTCTGAACCCGTACCGATTGGCTATGGCGCTAACGAACGGTCCCGCTATCAGATAGAACCCGGACATCAGAGACCCCACCAGCGAAACATTGGGGTTGGTCACCTCGAATTCCTCGGCAATCGGCTCTATCATGGTACCGAAGGAGAATATGACGCCATCGACCACCAGGTTGCACATGAAGGAGCCGAACACCACCATCCACCCCCATCCGCCGTCTGGGGGGATGACCACCTCGGCAGCAGTGGGGGAAGCTCTGGAGGAATCCTCGTCTTCGTCTAATCGGTCGACCAGGTTTTCGCATTCGGCTGTCTCGCCGTCGTATCGGCAGTCCATTTCGGTTTCTTGAATGGTTGTGGCTGCGGTGGCCTCTGGGGAATCTCTGTTCGATATCACCATTTTTCACACGATCTGTAAAGAAAATCGATCGATTAGGGAACCAGTTAGGCAATGCGTAATTCAAATTATCGAATATTGAGTAACCATCATAAATAAGTTCAGTTTGAAATAAATAACAACACTTTATAAGATGGTACATTTCCCGATTTTCTGAAAATATCTGTAGTAATTCTTCTGCATAGAGGTGGTGACCTTAATGATCCATCAAACTACTCACAGATATCTCTCTTATTTCTACATTAACGAAAATTATTGAGAGATTAGTTAAGATCAGATTATCGGCATACTTAGTTAAAAATAAGGTCACCACCAATGCTCAGTTGGAAAAGATACAAATGATGCAATTTTTTCTTCTTTGTTTGACGTATATTGTTACTGATAAATAATAAAGATACTCTGTATTCATATGATGGTATCAGATACTCTATATATGATGGTATCCAAGATAATAGTAGTGATCAATCTGATGTTTTCTATCTGAACTGAGTCTTGTTGAGTTTTGTGAATATATCGTTTTTATATCGAAAATAGTATTCAATTCATTGTAATTGATAAAGTGGTTTACGAATGGTGATGGACATAGAAATTCCACGATGTTATTCACTCCAGTTGAAAGAAGCCCAAGACATCGAACTACATACATTTTCAGATGCTAGTGAAGATGCCTATTCATCAGCTGTATATCTCCGGATGAAGTATGAGCAGAATCATATACAAATTGTACTTGTTACTTCAAAGGCACGAGTTGCACCTCTGAAATCACTATCTATCCCAAAACTGAAGTTACTTTCTGCCGTAATAGGAGTTAGATTATCTACTGAGGCCATGAAACACCTGAAATTCGACATCCGACAAAAATTCTACTGGACGGATTCGAGAACCGTTCTACATTGGATCAACAGTGAGAATAAACTCCAATCCTACGTATCTACCAGAGTAGGAGAAATTTTGGAATTTACTGAAGTTGATCTGTGGAGATGGGTTCCGACTCTTGATGATGTTGCCGATGACTGCACGAGAGAAACATCCAAAGGAAGTATTCATGCTAATCATGGTTCAGAGGACCTGCGTTTCTCTATGGAACTGAAAACAACTGGCCTCAAATTCAGTTGAAGACAGGAGAAAATACTCTCCAGGAGACCGTGGAAAGCACCTTACAAAATGTGTTGGTGGAAGAAAATTGCTTCGCTCTAACCGTTCCACAAATAAGAAACCATTATACATGGGTCAAACTTATGAGAATCACAGCAAGAGTCCGTCAATTCATACGTCACCTCAAAAGGACGGAAGAAAAAAGAAATATATTTCTGAGCTGCGACGATATGGTATAGTGGAAAACAGTGCAATGTTCAAAATTTTCCATTGATCTCAAGAACTTACGCAAAAATGATTCCAACAGAAATGGTCGTCTACATCAAATGTCGCTTTTTCTTGACAAAGATAATGTGATGAGGGTTTGCAGCAGAATCACAAGAATAGAGGACATTCCGGCGGGAATTGAAAAAGAACCTATTGTTCTAGATGGTGATCATCCCTATACCCAGAAAATGATCATGCATTATCATGCAAATTATTGCCATCAGGGTATATAGACAGTCGAAAATGAAATGCGAAGAAAATTTTGGATTCCACGTCTCCGAACAATAACAGTGAAAAAAGTTATCAAACAATGTCACTACTGTAGTCGTAGAACTGCAAAAAGTGCTCAGCCTGTAATGGGTCAATTACCTCAGGAGAGACTTTTCAAATACTAAAAACCATTCTGCGCCACAGGATTGGATTTCTTTGGACAGTTCATTGTTAAAGTTGGCAGGCGACACGAAAAACGCTACGGTGTTCTATTCAATTGTCTTACTATTAGAGCAATCCATGTGGAAGTCGCTAATATAGTCTCAATACAGACTCGTGCATTATGGCAGTGAGAAGATTCTTGGCAAGAATAGGAGCTGTACGTGTCATCTGGTCAGATAATGGCACAAATATAAAAGGCGCTAGTCGAGAACTTCTAGAAGCAATGGACGAACTAGAGATGAGTCTGGTGGATGATGAATTGACGAATAGAGGTATTTCTTTCAAGAGAATACCTCCAATATCACCGTTTATGGGAGGTAGCTGGGAAAGGATGATCGGATGTTTTAAACGAGCCCTGAACGCTATACTGAGAGATAGGTACCCAACCGATGAATACATAGTTAATAGTCGACCATTAACTCAAAAAGTCTATGAGGGAAATGATGGAGTTGTGAGGGTGGCGGATGCCCGCACTACCCAAGGTGTTTTCAAGAGACCTGCAAGAAGACTCTGTATTGACGAAAGACAAGTCAATACCGGGGGGAACAATGTTACTGATAAATAATAAAAAAAATACTCTGTATTCATATGATGGTATCAGATACTCTATATATGATGGTATCCAAGATAATAGTAGTGATCGATCTGATGTTTTCTATCTGAACTGAGTCTTGTTAAGTTTTGTGAATATATCGTTTTTATATCGAAAATAGTATTCAATCCATTGTAATTGATATATATACAGAAATAAATCGTGGTGAAGTTACTAAGGCAGTATTATCTGACTTCTAAGGCGTCCGACTGTGTGAAGCACGGAATACTGTTGCTTTACCACCATAGATTCAAGGATGTCTCTCAGAAATGGATAAAGTCATATCTATCAGGTCGAAGCCAAATTGTGAATACGGTAACATTCTCCGATGAGTCGACTGTAGAATGTGGTGTGTCTCAGCGGGTCTATACTTGGACCAATGCTTTTTTCAATCTACTTGAATGATTTGGCCAGATCATATCAGAAAAAATAACGCTATAGGTCAGGACGAAATTCTTTCAGTCTACCCTACCAAAACTATACTATATAGTTATCATATCACGAGACATATTTTAACAACAAAAATACAATTATTTTTTACAAATACATAGTTGACAAAATAAAATAGAGGGACTTCATGGTGCAATATCCAATAAAAATCGAATTGAAAATTCAACGACCAACTGAAGAATTATAAAGATATTTCATATATTTCGGAAAATATGAAAACAACTATTTCAGAAGATTTTGTTTTCAAATTCTTAGCGTGTGCGTTCAAAATATATAATTCAATGTTCGTCGTGGCATTTAGCCAGGAAAGTAGTTGTTTTCTGTTGAATAAACCAAGGAAGAATCGATATTTTCATCATATGGGGAATGCAAATTCTCAATGTATTTCCTTATATGTATATATATATATATATATATATAATAATAATAATAAATGCTTTTATTGTCTCAATGAAACAAAAGGCAGAGTTCAACTCGCCGATGAATCGACAGCTGCTCTTCCACTCAACCCTAATACTGGGCGATCTTAACCTACAGGCACAAACCCGGGAATCGACAGCCCATGGCCAATCATGACCAGTTTGATGCAAAAAAAAACGAACAAAATGTATTCAAAGAGATAATCTAGATGAATAGGCAAATATTTTTCAATATATATATCGAAAACGCATCCATCATATAACTATTACATTGATATCTTGAAAACTAATGAAAAAAAACCTTCCACCAAACTTGAAATGCGCATCACTAGTCCCCATATATCATGGGCCACAATCGTGCCTACAGGTCATTATATATATATCCATTTTTTTAAGTTTATAATTACATTTGAGAATATTCCTTCTCAATATTTTCACCCAATCAAGGGGTTCAAAGTTGAGCGATGAAAACATGTTATTTTTATAGACCTTCAATCGCAGATTTGTGATTGGGTTTCCTCAATTCAGAATTTCTTTCCTCGTCCTGTATAATGAATATCAATATATCATACATCCAAAAACGAATGTATGTTTGTTTGGGTGGAATCTTTTAACTCCATTTTGAAGTAGATATCTTCAATCAATTGAGCACGTTTAGTTTGGATGACAATGCACGATAACGTGTGTGACGTCATTCTAAATCCAATAGGGGGACCATCCAAGATGGCGGAATAGTTATTTTCAATGCACTTCTACAATTTGGGTATCAAATGAAGTGGCTTGTTGAGAGTTACTCGAAATATAATGTGACATCAGTATGAATTCAATATGGCGAATCATCCAAGATGGCGGAATAGTTATATTTTTAATCTACTTCTACAATATGGGCATCAAATGAACAGGCTCGTTGAGAGTAATTCGAAAAATAATGTGACGTTATTCTAAATTCAATATGGCGGACCATACAAGATGGCGGAATAGTTATTATTTATACACTTCTTCAATGAGGGTTTCAAATGAAAGGGCTTGCCAAGAATAATTAGAAATAATGTGGCATCACTATTGTGCTTTCCGATAAAATGAAAGGGTTTGCTGGGAATAAAGATGCAGGTATAAATATTGATTTTTGAGCCTGTAACATCGATTGATTAACTTGTGTAATTTGGCAAGATAGGCGTCATCAGCATTGGTCTGAAATCTGTCTAGGAGAACGACAACTCCAAAATCAAACTCGAAACTGTGTTTTGTCAGGCACAAAGCCAGCGATAACTAAAAAGTAAGAAATGAATTGAAAGTAAAAAAAAGCTTGAACGCTAGAATTTAAACTATCAACTATATCAACCTCATTATACACAATTTATATGATCATGAAAGTTTGTTGCGATGATCTAAATTAAATAGAAATTTGAAAGATTTCAACTAAGCAGATTTCACATAATTAAATTAGTACTAGTTCATATACAAAATTAAATCGCTAAGTTCAAATTATAGAAATATCAATTTAATTAAATATTGATCATCGCTACAAGCTTTTTATGATAATATGAATTGTGAATAATGAGTATATAAGTTGGTAGTTGAAATTAATATGGAACCTTTTATTTTCTTCTTTTTAGAGCGTTCAAATGAAAGCTTCTTTTCAAAGGTTTTTTTTCTTTTTATTTATTGTAGTTTGGGTGTACGAAAGAACATGGAAATTAGAGGTGCCTACTTAATCAGGTAGGCGTACTCTCAATTTTTCCACAAAAATTTACTGATGT